GCATTTCCATCGACGACAGATCTGAGATCACTGTCTTTGGGGTTCCTTTTTCAACCACTCCAACCATGGCTACCGACGGCTAGCTCCGCTTGAGAAGGCATTGACCTTAGCCATTGGCTGAAAGAAGAGTTGAGCATCGATTCAATCGTGGCGCGAGCTTCTTCAACCGATCCGTCACTCTTCGGATGACCGGCTATTCACTCACTCTCTCTCTCTCTCCATATAAAAATCGAAGAAAACCTTGTCAAACACCTCTATTCCTTCACAATTCACACTCTTTGGCTGGCCATAAGATCCCTTCCAATGGCTACGACCTTTCGATTTCGTGCTTCTCTTCTCGTCTCCCTCATCCTCATTACCACCCCATCTTAGTGCCCCTCGTTCACATCGCCTTCGAACCCCAATTTCGAATCGAAGGCCGACAGCAGTGGCTCTGACACTACCAAGTACTGGTGTGCAGCGAAGAACAACGCCGAAGATTCAACTTTGCAGACGGCGTTGGATTGGGCTTGCGGAGCGGGAGGCGCCGATTGCAGGGCTCTACAGCAAGGTGGTCCCTATTACAATCCCTAGGATGTCCAATCTATGGCCTCCTACGCCTTCAACGATTACGCCCTCAAGAATGGCTTGTCCAACACTACCTGCAATTTCGACAATAGTGCCACCATCATCACTCTCACAAAGCAGTATCTCTGCATACGATGCATCTTTCGCATTCCAACAGGAAACCATCTTCGGCATCCATTGCTTTTGAGCGGAGCAGAGAGAGCTTCTAGAGATAATTATGAATTTGCCCAGGAAAGGAGCTCGACGTCACTCTCTGGATCATCTTCATCTACTAAGATGAGGTTTCTGTTTGGGTTAATATGACAATTATTGAGCTGCTTTGGAGAGGAAGCTAGCGTTGCAGCTGGAGCAGGCGACGTTGTACACTTAATAAGGGTAGTATGGGGATTAAAAAATATTGTAACGGCGGATCTAAACGAAAAATTAACTGAAGGGGGTCTTTGTCTCACAGTCATAGTACTGGGGGGTCTTTGTCGCAAAACAAAATATAGGGGGTCTTTGTCACAGACCCCATAGTATAGGGGGTCTTTATAATTTACCCAAAAAATATTATTTACAAAAATATTTAAGAATCTAAAGTTTGTTTTTCTTTGTATAAGTAATAATAAAAAATAACTGATTTAGTAATTGAAATATTATAGCTACATATGATTGCATTTGGATCTTCTACATTCTCATATGTTTTTCTTTAAAATTAGTTATATCACTATAATTATCAATTAATAATTTAATTTAATAAATATAACATATTAATGAATTTATCAATATTTCGAACCTTAATGTTGATTGAGGCTGATTAAGACCAAATCGGATATACTGACATAATGACATTCAAAATTGGGTTTAATTTTTGATAATTTCAGAAGGTTGGGTCAGGTTTCACATCAAAGACTTTCGGCATTTCTGGTAAGATGTCTTATTATTGTTCTTTTTGGAACACAATATAGTAAGTATGTTGATATCCGTCAGAATATCTATTTTCCATTGGATATGATACAACAGCACCTCACATCTGTCTTTCCTTCTATCAACAACCAAGGTAAGAACAATATTGATGTTCTGGTGTAGTGTTCTCTCTCTCCCTCTTTCTCTTTCTTTTTCTCTCTCTCATTCTCATCTCTTTGAGGTCAAAAGCTAATGCAGAAATAGACTGGCATGGAGAGACTGAGATGTGGCACTCTAAAGTGTGAAGTCTTTTATCTTGCGAGGAAACCATTTCAGTTCACAGTTATAATCGCAGATCTCTGTTTCAGAGGATGATTGAGTTTCATTTTGCAAGGAAACCATTGTTTGGATTTCGTATTGGAAATGGCGATTTTCACTTGGAGATGTTGAATCCCAGTTCCGATTTGCAGAGAACAGTTACCACCGCAAACAGGGGCACACCGGTCTCTACTTGAAACAAAAATGGGTTTGATAATCCACCATTGTTTTCTATATCGATTCAAATGCCCAATATGAGCGCCTCTTTGCATTATTGGTTATTGATGAGGGCGGATTTGGCCCTCCAGTGAAATTGTGACACCTGGCACCTCATGCAAACCAAGTGCAGCCTCTTGACAACTGAGCAGCTCGGGCAACTCGGCACAACTCGGGCAGCTCAG